ATTGGGACACAACCACTGGGATACGCCCTGTGGGACACACCCATTAGGGACACACCCATTTGGACACGCCCACTGGGGACACACCCAGTGGGACACACCCATGGGGACACACCCATTGGGACACACCCCCTTGGGGGACACACCCATTGGGACACACCCTTTGGGACATGCCCGTTGGGACACGCCCATTGGGACACGCCCTCTTGGGGACACAACCATTGAGGACACGCCCAGTGGGGACACACCCATTGGGGACACGCCCCCCTGGGGACACAGCCATTGGGACACGCCCATTGGGACACGCCCACTGGGGACACGCCCACTGGGACACACCCAGTGGGGACACAGCCATTGGGACACGCCCATTGGGACACGCCTATTGGGGACACGCCCATGGGGACATGCCCATTGGGGACACACCCTTTGGGGTCACGCCCCCTGGGACACACCCATGGGGACACACCCATTGGGACACACCCTTTTGGGGGACATGCCCATTGGGACACACCCATTGGGGACATGCCCCCTTGGGGACACACCCGTTGGGACACGCCCACTGGGACACACCCAGTGGGACACGCCCATTGGGACACGCCCATTGGGACACACCCCCTGGGACACACCCAGTGGGGACACGCCCCCTGGGACACACCCATTGGGGACACACCCATTGGGACACGCCCTTTGGGGACACGCCCATGGGGACACGCCCATTGGGACACACCCTTTGGGGTCACGCCCCCTGGGACACACCCATTGGGACACACCCATTGGACACGCCCACTGGGACACACCCAGTGGGACACGCCCATTGGGGCACACCCCCTGGGACACACCCACTGGGGACACGCCCCCTGGGACACACCCATTGGGGACACACCCACTGGGACACGCCCCCTTTGGGACATGCCCATTGGGACACGCCCATTGGGGACACACCCATTGGGGAATGCCCATTGGGACACACCCACTGGGACAAAACCATTGGGGACACACCCTTGGGGACACACCCATTGGGGACACACCCTTGGGGACACACCCATTGGGACACGCCCTTTGGGACACACCCATTGGGACACGCCCTTTGGGACACACCCAGTGGGGACACGCCCATTGGGACACACCCTTTGGGGACACACCCATTGGGACACGCCCACTGGGACACACCCGTGGGGACACGCCCAGTGGGGACACACCCATTGGGACACACCCATTGGGACACACCCGGTGGGGACACGCCCACTGGGGACACGCCCACTGGGACACGCCCACTGGGGGACACACCCATTGGGACACACCCACTGGGACACGCCCATTTGGACACGCCCACTGGGACACACCCACTGGGACACGCCCCCTAGGACACACCCTCAGAGCGTATTGTTACGGGTGTTGCTGGTGTGGTGGGGTTGGAGCCTCAAGATCATCACCCCACACCCCAATAACCCCCATTAACCCCCAAATAACCCCCATAAATTCCTCTTTATTCGGTCAGAGTGTGGCAGGGGTGGTGGAGAGCCTCAAGATCATCACCCCACACCCCAATAACACCCCATTAACCCCTAAATAACTCCTCTTTATTTGATCAGAGTGTGGCAGGGGTGGTGGAGAGCCTCAAGATCATCACCCCACACCCCAATAACCATCTTTAACCCCTAAATAACTCCTCTTTATTTGGTCAGAGCGTGGCAGGAGTTGTGGAGAGCCTCAAGATCATCACCCCACACCCCAATAACCCCCATTAACCCCCCCATTAACCCTACAGAGTGTGGCAGGGGTGGTGGAGAGCCTCAAGATCATCACCCCACACCCCAATAACCCCCATTAACCCCACAGAGCGTGGCAGGGGTTGTGGAGAGCCTCAAGATCATCACCCCACACCCCAATAACACCTTTTATTTGGTCAGAGTGTTGCAGGGGTTGTGGAGAGCCTCAAGATCATCACCCCACACTCAATTAACACCCCAAATAACCCCCATTAACCCCACAGAGCGTGGCAGGGGTGGTGGAGAGCCTCAAGATCATCACCCCACACCCCAAATAACCCCCAAATACCCCCCATTAACCCCACAGAGCGTGGCAGGGGTGGTGGAGAGCCTCAAGATCATCACCGCCGGCCGCTCTCGCCGCATCGCCCACTACGCCTTCGGGCTGGCCCGGGCGGCCTCGCGGCGCTGCGTCACCGCCGTGCACAAGGCCAACATCATGTATGGGGATGGGGGGGCTCCAAGGGGTCCTGGGGGGCTTTAAGGGGTCCTGGGGAGTGTCTGGGGGAGCTTCAAGGGGTCTTGGGGGCTCAAGGGGGTCCTGGGGGGGTTCTGGAGGAGCCCGGGCGGCCTCGCGGCGCTGCGTCACCGCCGTGCACAAGGCCAACATCATGTACGGGGATGGGGGGGCTGCACAGGGGTCCTGGGGGCTCAAGGGGTCCTGGGGGGCTGCAGAGGGGTCCTGGGGGCTCCAAGGGGGTCCTGGGGGGGTTCAAAGGGGGTCCTGGGGAGTTCTGAAGGGGTCCTGGGGGGCTTAAAGGGGGTCCTGGGGGGGCTGCAGGGGGTCCTGGGGGATCAAAGGGGTCTGGGGGGCTTTAAGGGGGTCCTGGGGGGGTCCTGAGGGGCTCTAAGGGTGTCCTGGGGGGCTCCAAAGGGGTCCTGGTGGGGTCACAGGGGTCTTGGGGGAGTCACAGGGGGTCTGGGGAGGGTCACAGGGGTCTTGGGGGTCTTGGGGGTCACAGGGGGTCTTGGGGGCTCAAGGGGGTCCTGGGGGGCTGCAGGGAGTCCTGGGGGGTCTCAGGGGTGTCCTGGGGGTCTCTAAGGGGTCCTGGGGGCTCTAAGGGGGTGCTGGGGGAGGGTCTCACCGATCCCCTCCCCACAGGAAGCTGTTCCTGGGTCCTGGGGGTCTCTGGGGTGTCCTGGGGATCTCTGGGGGGTCTCTGGGGTATCCTGGGGGTCTCTGGGGTATCCTGGGGGGGTCCCTGGGGGTCTCACCTCCCCCCACCCCGCAGGAAGTTGGCGGACGGGCTGTTCCTGCAGTGCTGTCAGGAGGTGGCTGCCGAGTACCCCGAGATCACCTTCCAGAACATGATCGTGGACAACACCACCATGCAGGTGTGACCCCTCCCCAAACCCCCTCCCCAAATTACCCTGACCACCTTCCAGAACATGATCGTGGACAACACCACCATGCAGGTGTGACCCCTCCCCAAATCCCCTGCTGCCCCTCCCCAAACCCCCTTCCAGAACATGATCGTGGACAACACCACCATGCAGGTGTGACCCCTCCCCAAATCCCCTCCCCAAGCCCCTGACCACCCTTCCAGAACATGATGCGTGGACAACACCACCATGCAGGTGTGACCCCTCCCCAAACCCCCTCCCCAAATTACCCTGACCACCCCCTTCCAGAACATGATCGTGGACAACACCACCATGCAGGTGTGACCCCTCCCAAACCCCTCCCCAAACCCCCTCCCCAAACCCCCTTCAGAACATGATCGTGGACAACACCTACCATGCAGGTGTGACCCCTCCCCAAACCCCTGCTGCCCCCTCCCCCAAATCCACCCTGACCACCCCTTCCAGAACATGATCGTGGACAACACCACCATGCAGGTGTGACCCCTCCCCAAACCCCTCCCCAAATCCACCCTGACCACCTCCCTGGGCTCCCAGTTAACCCCCAGAGCTCTCAGTAACCCCCAATAACCTCCAGTAACCTCCAGTGTCTCCAGTAAACCCCAGTAACCCCTCCAGTAGCCCCATTAACGCCAGTAACCCCCAGTAAGTCCAGTGCCCCTCAGTAACCCCTAGAGCTCTCAGTAACCCCAGTGCCCCCCAGTAACCCCCAGAGCTCCCAGTAACCCCAGTGCCCCCAGTAACCCCCACAGCTCTCAGTAACCCCAGTACCCCCCAGTAACCCTCAGCACTCCCAGTAACCCCCAATAACCCCCCAGTGCCCCCCAGTAACCCCCAATAACCTCTAAAGCTCCCAGTAACCCCCAGAGCTCCCAATAACCCCCAGTAACCCCCAATAACCCCCAGTAACTCCCAGAGCTCCCAGTAACCCCAAAGCTCCCAGTAACCCCCAGAGCTCCCAGTAACCCCAGTAACTCCAAAGCTCCCAGTAACCCCAGAGCTCCAGTAACCCTCAGTAACCCCCAATAACCCCAGAGCTCTCAGTAACCCCCAATAACCCCAATAACCCCCAGTAACCCCCAATAACCCCCAGAGCTCCCAATAAGCCCCAGTAACCCCAGTAACCCCCAGTAACCGCCAGCCCCCAGTAACCCCAGCTGGTGTCGCGGCCCCAGCAGTTCGACGTGATGGTGATCCAGTAACCCCAGTAACCCCAGTAACCCCAAAGCTCCCAGTAACTCCCAGTAAGCCCCAGTAAGCCCCCAGTAACCGCAGCCCCGCTGTCCCCAGCTGGTGTCGCGGCCCCAGCAGTTCGGCGTGATGGTGATCCAGTAACCCCCAATAACTCCCAAAGCTCCAGTAACCCCCAGTAACCCCCAGTAACCCCCAGCGCCCCCAGTAACCGCAGCCCGCTGTCCCCAGCTGGTGTCGCGCCCCAGCAGTTCGACGTGATGGTGATCCAGTAACCCCAATAACCCCCAAAGCTCCCAGTAACCCCCAGTAACCCCAGTAACCCCCAATAACCCCCAACGTAGTAACCCCCAGTACCCCTAGCACTGACCGCATGGCCCTGCTGTCCCCAGCTGGTGTCGCGGCCCCAGCAGTTCGACGTGATGGTGATCCAGTAACCCCCAATAACCCCAGCTCCCAGTAACCCCCAGTAACCCCCAGTAACCCCCAGTAACCCCCAGTAACCCCCCAGTAACCGCAGCCCCGCTGTCCCCAGCTGGTGTCGCGGCCCCAGCAGTTCGACGTGATGGTGATCCAGTAACCCCCAATAACCCCAAAGCTCCCAGTAACCCCAGTAACCCCCAGTAACCCCAGTAGCCCCAGTAACCCCCAGTAACCCCAGCGCCCCCAGTAACCGCAGTCCCGCTGTCCCCAGCTGGTGTCGCGGCCCCAGCAGTTCGACGTGATGGTGATCCAGTAACCCCCAACAACCCCCAAAGCTCCCAGTAACCTCCAATAACCCCAGTAACCCCCAATAACCCCAAAGCTCCCAGTAACCCCCAGTAACCCCCAGTAACCCCCAGTAACCCCAGTAACCCCCAGTAACCCCCAGTAACCCCCAGTAACCGCAGCCCGCTGTCCCCAGCTGGTGTCGCGGCCCCAGCAGTTCGACGTGATGGTGATGCAGTAACCCCCAATAACCCCCAAAGCTCCCAGTAACCCCCAGTAACCCCCAGTAACCCCCAGTAACCCCCAGTAACCCCCAGTAACCCCAGTAACCATCTTGGCCCCGCTGTCCCCAGCTGGTGTCGCGGCCCCAGCAGTTCGACGTGATGGTGATCAGTAACCCCAATAACCCCAAAGCTCCCAGTAACCCCCAGTAACCTCCAGTAACCCCCAGTAACCCCCAGTAACCCCCAGTAACCCCCAGTAACCCCAGTAACCCAGTAACCCCAGTGCCCCCAGTAACCGCAGCCCGCTGTCCCCAGCTGGTGTCGTGGCCCCAGCAGTTCGACGTGATGGTGATCCAGTAACCCCCAATAACCCCCAGTAACCCCCAGAGCTCCCAGTAACCCCAGTAACCCCCTAGTAACCCCAGTAACCCCAGTAACCCCAGCCCAGTAACCGCAGCCCCGCTGTCTCCAGCTGGTGTCGCGGCCCCAGCAGTTCGACGTGATGGTGATCCAGTAACCCCCAATAACCCCCAGAGCTCCCAGTAACCCCCAGTAACCCCAGTAACCCCCAGTGCTCCCAGTAACCGCAGTCCCGCTGTCCCCAGCTGGTGTCGCGGCCCCAGCAGTTCGACGTGATGGTGATCCAGTAACCCCCAATAACCCCCATAACGCTCCCAGCTCAGTAACCCCCAGTAACCCCCAGTAACCCCAGTAACCCCAGTGCCCCAGTAACCGCAGCCCCGCTGTCCCCAGCTGGTGTCAGCGACCCCAGCAGTTCGGCGTGATGGTGATCCAGTAACCCCAATAACCCCCAATAGCTCCCAGTAACCCCCAGTAACCCCCAGTAACCCCCAGTAACCCCCAGTAACCCCCCAGTAACCCCCCAGTAACCGCAGCCCCGCTGTCCCCAGCTGGTGTCGCGGCCCCAGCAGTTCGACGTGATGGTGATCCAGTAACCCCCAATAACCCCCAAAGCTCCCAGTAACCCCCCAGTAACCCCCAGTAACCCCCCAGTGCCCCCCAGTAACCGCAGCCCCGCTGTCCCCAGCTGGTGTCGCGGCCCCAGCAGTTCGACGTGATGGTGATGCCGAACCTTTACGGCAACATCGTCAACAACGTCTGCGCCGGCCTCGTGGGGGGGCCCGGCCTCGTCCCGGGGGCCAACTACGGGCACGACTACGCCGTGTTCGAGACCGTGAGCTGGGGGGGGACGGGACTGGGGGGTACTGGGGGCACTGGGAGCACTGGAGGGGGAATTGGGGGGTCACTGGGAGCACTGGGAGCACTGGAGGGGGAATTGGAAGGGGTTTAGGGGGTCCCTGGGGGGGCCCGGCCTCGTCCCGGGGGCCAACTACGGGCACGATTACGCTGTGTTCGAGTGAGTTGGGAGGGGGACGGTCCTGGGGATCCCAGGGCTGTGGGTGTCACCCCATGGTTTTTGGGGGTGTCCCCAGGGTGTGGGGGTCACCCCGTGCCCCAAGGGGGGATCCGTGGGCTGTCCCCGTGCCCCAAGGGGGGATCCCTGGGCTGTTGGGGTCACCCCGTGCCTTGGGGGATCCCAGGGCTGTCCTCATGCCCCGGGGGGGTCCCTGGGTTGTCAAGAGTCACCCCATGCCCTGGGGGGGTCCCTGGGCTGTCAAGAGTCACCCCATGCCCTGGGGGGGTCCCTGGGCTGTGAGTGTCACCCCATGGTTTTTGGGGCTGTCCCTGGGGTGTGGCGGTCACCCCCTGCCCTGGGGGGGTCCCTGGGCTGTCCCCGTGCCCCAGGGGGGGTGTGGGGGTCACCCCATGGTTTTTGGGGGTGTCCCCAAGGCGTGGGGGTCACCCCATACCCCAAGGGGGGTCCCTGGGCTATCTCCGTGCCCCAAGGGGGGATCCCTGGGCTGTTGGGGTCACCCCATGGTTTTTGGGGGTGTCCCCAGGGCGTGGGGGTCACCCCGTGCCTGGAGGGATCCCAGGGCTGTCCTCATGCCCCAGGGGGATCCCAGGGCTGTCAGGATCACCCCGTGCCCCGGGGGATCCCTGGGCTGTCAGGGGTCACCCCATGCCCTGGGGGGGTCCCTGGGCTATCCCCGTGCCCTAAGGGGGGATCCCTGGGCTGTCCCCATGCCCCGGGGGGGGGATCCCTGGGTTCTCAGGGGTCACCCCCTGCCCTGGGGGGATCTCTGGGCTGTCGGGGTCACCCCATAACCCCCCCCTACCCCCCAGGCCACGCGGAACACGGGCAAGAGCATCGCCAACCGCAACATCGCCAACCCCACGGCCGCCCTGCTCGCCGCCTGCATGATGCTGGACCACCTAAGGTGGGCGGGGCCTCGGGGAGGGGGCGTGGTCATGGAGGGGCGTGGCCGTGCTGGGGGAGGAGACTGGACCCCCTTTAGGGGAGGAGTTTGGAAAAGGGGGCGTGGTTTTCCCGTGGGAGGGTTTTGGGGGAGGGGGTGGAGATTGGGAAGGGGCGGGGCTTGTCCAGCAGGAGAGGATCCCATTGGAGGGGCTGGGCGAGGGGTGGAGCCATTAACAAGGGGTGGGGTTTTTCCAGGATAGGATCCCATTGGAGGGGCTGGGTGAGGGGCGTGGCCCCCCCAAAATTGGGTGGAGATTAAAAAGGGGTGTGGCTTTGTCATAGCACAGGATCCCATTGGAGGGGCTGGGTGAGGGGCGTGGCCCCCCAAAATTGGGTGGGGATTAAAAAGGGGTGTGGCTTTGTCATAGGACACAATCCCATTGGAGGGGCTGGGTGAGGGGCGTGGCCACAGAAATCATGGGGATTAAAAAGGGGTGTGGCTTTGTCATAGGACAGGATCTGATTGGATGGGCTGGGGAAGGGGTGGAGTCATTAAGCAAGGGGTGGAGCTTTTCCAAGACAGGATCCCATTGGATGGGTTGGGCAAGGGGTGGAGTCACTAACAAGGGGCGGGGCTTTTCCAGGACAGAATCCCATTGGATGTGCTGGCTGAGGGGGGCGGAGCTTCTGGGTCTATTCACCCAGATAGGTGGGGCTTTTTAAGGGGGTGGGAGTGGCCTTTGCTGATGTGGGCGTGGCCTCTGCTTTTGCCCCGCCCCCCAGGCTGCACAGCCACGCCTCCACCATCCGCCAGGCCGTGCTGGCCTCGCTGGACGACCCCAGGGTAAGTCCTGGCCTTGCCTCTGACCCCCCTTTAAAGGGTCTGACCCCCCTTTAATGGGGGTGGCCCTCCCCCACCCCTCCCCCACCCCACCCCCTGTGGGCGTGGCTGCAAAGCCCCTCCCCACACCCTGCTCTTCACCCCTCCCTCAGACGCACACGCCCGACATCGGGGGCCAGGGCACGACCTCGGGGGCCGTGCAGAGCATCATCTCCCACCTGCCACGGGCCTGAGACCGGCACACCGACCCCCTGGGACACTGCAGGACACCCCCAGCACCCTGACACACCCCTGGGATCCTGGGACACTCCAGGACACCCCAGACCACCCTGGACACCCTGGGATCCTGGGATACTCCAGGACACCCCCAGCACCCTGACACACCCCTGGGATCCTGGGACACCCACCCCAGGACACCCCCAGCACCCTGACACACCCCTGGGATACTCCAGGACACCCCCAGCACCCTGACACACCCCTGGGATACTCCAGGACACCCCCAGCACCCTGACACACCCCTGGGATCCTGGGACACTCCAGGACATCCCCAGACCACCCCTGGACACCCCTGGGATCCTGGGACACCTCAGGACACCCCCAGACCACCCCAGGACACCCCCAGCACCCTGACACACCCCTGGGATACTCCAGGACACCCCCAGCACCCTGACACACCCCTGGGATCCTGGGACACCTCAGGACACCCCAGGACACCCCAGCACCTGACACCCTGGGATCCTGGGACACCTCAGGACACCCCCAGACCACCCCAGGACACCCCGATCCCCAGGACACCCCTGGGATCCTGGGACGCTCCAGGACACCCCAGGACACCCCAGCACCGACACCGTCTGGACACACCCAGAGACACCCCAGATCCCCCGGGACACCCCTGGGATCCTGGGACACCCCAGGACCACGATACACCCCCCGGGACGCCCCCAGGACCACAATGCACTCCAGGACCACACTAACCCCCCCCAGGAGCACAACACACCCTTCCAGGACCTCACACACACCCATGGGACCCCAAAAAGCACCCCAGGACCACAACAAACACCCCCAGGACCACAACACACCCATGGGACCCCAAAAAACACCCCAGGACCACAACAAACCTTTGCTGAACCCCAGCACAGCCCCAGGACCACAATAAACACCCCCAGGACCCCAACACAGCCATGGGACCCCAAAAAACACCCCAGGACCACAACAAACCCTTGCTGAACCCCAACACAGCCCCAGGACCACAGCAAACACCCCTAGGACCACAACAGACCCATGGAACCCCAACACAGCCACTGGACCACAACAACCCCCCCTGGACCCTGACAGAGCCACAGGATCCCAATAAACACCCCAGGACCCCAACACAGCCACAGGACCACAAGAACCCCCTTCAGGACCCCAGGACACCCCCACAGCACCCCAATAAACGCCTCAGGACCACCACAAAAAACCTCCCGTGCCCTCCTGGCAGCCGTTTATTGAGGCCGTGGTTGTGGGGTGGGCTCAGGGGTGCTGCAGGCACTGGTGGGTGGTGGTGATCCCCTGGGTGGGCTCAGGGGTGCTGCAGGCACTGGTGGGTGATGGTGGCCCCATGGGTGGGCTCAGGGGCGCAGCCAGGGGTGCTGCAGGCACTGGTGGGTGGTGGTGATCCCCTGGGTGGGCTCAGGGTCGCAGCCAGGGGTGCTGCAGGCACTGGTGGGTGATGGTGGCCCCATGGGTGGGCTCAGGGGCGCAGCCAGGGGTGCTGCAGGCCCCTGGGTGGGCTCAGGGGTGCAGCCAGGGGTGCTGCAGGCACTGGTGGGTGGTGGTGATCCCATGGGTGGGCTCAGGGTGCAGCCAGGGTGCTGCAGGCACTGGTGGGTGGTGGTGACCCCATGGGTGGGCTCAGGTGCAGCCAGGTCCTGCAGGCCCCAGGTGGCTAGGGTGCAGCCAGGGGTGCTGCAGGCACTGGTGGGTGATGGTGGCCCCACAGGCAGGGTCAGGGGCGCAGCCAGGGGTGCTGCAGGCACTGGTGGGTGATGGTGGCCCCACAGGCAGGCTCAGGGGCGCAGCCAGGGGTGCTGCAGGCCCCATAGGCAGGGTCAGGGGCGCAGCCAGGGGTGCTGCAGGCACTGGTGGGTGGTGGTGATCCCCTGGGTGGGCTCAGGGGGTGCTGCAGGCACTGGTGGGTGGTGGTGATCCCACGGGTGGGCTCAGGGGTGCTGCAGGCACTGGTGGGTGATGGTGATCCCCTGGGTGGGCTCAGGGGTGCTGCAGGCACTGGTGGGTGGTGGTGACCCCATGGGTGGGCTCAGGGGTGCAGCCAGGGGTCCTGCAGGCCCCCCAGGTGGGCTCAGGGGCGCAGCCAGGGGTGCTGCAGGCACTGGTGGGTGGTGGTGATCCCATGGGTGGGCTCAGGGGTGCTGCAGGCACTGGTGGGTGATGGTGGCCCCTGTGTGTGGGGTCAGGGGTCCTGCAGGCCCTGGGTGGGCTCAGGGGCGCAGCCAGGGGTGCTGCAGGCACTGGTGGGTGATGGTGATCCCATGGGTGGGGTCAGGGGTGCTGCAGGCCCCCCAGGTGGGCTCAGGGGTGCAGCCAGGGGTGCTGCAGGCACTGGTGGGTGATGGTGATCCCATGGGTGGGCTCAGGGGTGCTGCAGGCACTGGTGGGTGATGGTGATCCCATGGGTGGGCTCAGGGGTCTTGAAGGCCCCACGGGTGGGCTCAGGGTCGCAGCCAGGGGTCCTGCAGGCCCCCCAGGCAGGCTCAGGGGCGCAGCCAGGGGTGCTGCAGGCACTGGTGGGCCGTGGCCCTGCGGGCGGGCTCGAAGGCCAGCATGGGCCGCAGGAAGCGGGCGAAGGCGGCGGCGGGGCCGCGGGGCCACTCGTACTTCTCCTGCAGCACCGCCCGCAGCCCCCATGGCCGCAGGTGCCGGATGTGCCGCAGCTCACCTGGGGAGGGGGCACCGCACGGGGGTCGGGGGGACACACAGATCCCCAGGGTGTCACCACGCATGGGTGGGTGGGGCTAAAGGAGGACACGCCCACTCGCGAGTGGGATGTGCCCTCCTTTATGACGTCACTCCACGCAAAGGGGTGGGAGTGTTGGGGGACACCCCTCCCTGTGGGCGGGGTCAGATACACCCAGTGGGGGGTGGGGTTAAGGGAGGACACGCCCACTCTTCAGTGGGATGTGCTCTCATGGGTGACGTCACTCCAGGTGAAGGGGTGGGGTCAGCGGGCACGCCCCCCCGTGGGGGCGGGGTCAGGGGTACACACACCCCCCAGGTGTGTCACACACCCACCCCCACGCACCTGCCAGCCCCTTTTCCACACCCCCTTTCCTGTGGCCACGCCCCCCGACCCAACACCCCTAATTTGCATAACTCCTCCCACACCCCGTCCCACCTCTTCCCACCCCTTCAGCCCCGCCCCCGGGCTCCCCCTCACCTCTGCGGTTGAAGAATTCCGGGAATATCTCCCCCAGGGCCACGTGCCGCAGGATGTCCCCAGCAGCTCGATCACGTGGGCGATGTGGTCTGGGGGCGTGTGGGAGGAGGGGCACCTCAGGGATGCACCCCCACCCACCCCCTTCGGGCCACGCCCACCGCTTTCAGCCCCACCCACCACCCCACCTGGCCCAGCCCTGCTCTCCCCACCCCCTCACCTGTCCCCACCTGCTCCTCATCTGTCCCCAACCTGTTCCCCCCTCACCCTCGTCCCTGCTGTCCCCCCACCCCCTCACCTGTCCCCCCGTCCCCATCTGTCCCCCTCACCTCGTCCCACCTGTGCTCCCACCCCTCACCTGTCCCCACCTGTCCCCCTCATCCCTGCTGTCCCCCTTGTCCCTCCCATCCCCACGTGTTGCCCCCCCGTCCCCTCTGTCCCCCATGTGTCCCCTTGTCCCTCACCCTCGTCCTGTTGTCCCCCGTCCCCATCTGTCCCCCCATCCCTCACCCTCGTCCCATGCTGTCCCCCTGCTCTCTCACCCTCGTCCCTGCTGTCCCTGCTGTCCCCCCTCATGCCCCATGTGTCCCCCCTCGTCCTCTTATCGCCCCTGTCCCCATCTGTCCCCCTATCCCTCACCCTCGTTCCTGCTGTCCCCCTGTCCCCATGTGTCCCCGTCCCCCTCATCCCTCCCGTCCCCATTGTCCCCCTGTCCCTCACCCTCGTCCCTGCTGTGCCTCCTCTGTCCCTCCACCCTCATCCATGCTGTCCCCTCACTCGTCCCTGCCCATCCCATGTGTCCCCCTGTCCCCATGTGTCCCTCACCTCTCGTCCTGCTGTCCTCTCCCTGTTCTCCACCTATCCCCATGTGTTTCCCCTGTCCCCTCCATCGTCCCCTGTCCCCATGTGTCCCCATCCCTCACCCCCGTCCCTGCTGTCCCTCCCTGTCCCCCCCATCCCCATGTGTCCCCCCCTGTCCCCATGTGTCCCCTCCTACCCTCGTCCTGCTGTCCCTCCTGTCCCCCTGTCCCCATTGTCCCCATCCCTCACCCTCGTCCCTGCTGTCCCCCCTGTCCCTCTGTCCCCTCACCCTCGTCCCTGCTGTCCCCCCTGTCCCTCCTGTCCCCTCACCCTCGTCCTGCTGTCCCCCTGTCCCCCTGTCCCCATCCCTCACCCTCATCCCTGCTGTCCCCCATGTGTCCCCCCCTGTCCCTCACCCTCGTCCCTGCTGTCCCCCCTGTCCCCTCTGTCCCCTCACCCTCATCCCTGCTGTCCCCCCTGTCCCCTCTGTCCCCTCACCCTCATCCTGCTGTCCCCCTGTCCCATGTGTCCCTCACCTCATCCCTGCTGTCCCCCTGTCCTCTGTGTCCTCACCTCGTCCTGCTGCTCCTCCCGAGTGTGGCTCGAACAGGTAATCCCCCGTTGCCAACTCGAAGGCCTGTGGGGCTGGACAGCTCTTGGGGGCCTGAGAGGTACCCGGGGGCAGCCCCCCCTCACCACAGGGGTCAGTGGGGCAGCCCCCTCCCCTCACCCCGGGGGTCTGTGGGGCAATCCCCCCTCACCATTGGGGTCTGTGGGGCAGCCTCCCCTCACCACGGGGGTCTGTGGGGCAGCCCCCTCCCCACATCCCCGGGGGTCTCTGGGGCAGCCCTCACAGGGGTCAGTGGGGCAGCCCCTCCTCTCACCATTGAGGTCTGTGGGACAGCCCCCTCCCCTCACTGTGGGGGTCTGTGGGGCAATGCCCCCTCACCACGGGGGTCTGTGGGACAATCCCCCCCTCCCTCACCACGGGGGTCTGTGGGGCAGCCCCCCCTCACCCCGGGGGTCTGTGGGGCAATGCCCCCTCACCACGGGGGTCTGTGGGACAATCCCCCCCTCCCCTCACCACGGGGGTCTGTGGGGCAGCCCCCTCCCCTCACCCCGGGGGTCTGTGGGGCAGCCCCCCCTCACCACGGGGGTCTGTGGGCGCTCCCTCACGGGGGTCTGTGGGGCAATCCCCCTCTGCACGGGGTCTGTGGGGCAATCCCCCTCCCTCACCACAGGGGTCTGTGGGGCAGCCCCTCCCTCACCACGGGGTCTGTGGGACAACCCCCTCCCCTCACCACAGGGGTCTGTGGGGCAGCCCCCCCCCTCACCATGCAGGCCGTGCTCCAGATGTCGGCGGGGGGGCCGTACCCTGCCCCCAGCAGCACCTCCAGCGCCCGGTACTGCCGAGTCTGGATGTCCTCAGTGAAGTGTTTGTGCTGGGCAAGGGGTGAGAGGGGTTAAACAGGGCATCAGCCCCCAAAACCACCCACCACACCCCCAACCCACCCCATGACCCCTTGTCTGTCTCCCAGAACCAGCCCCAAATCAGCCCCCACCACCGCCCCCAAGCCCTGTCCCCGACCCCCTTCAGTGTCCCCCAGTCCCCCAGTGCCCTCAGTGACCTCCAGTCCCCAGTGCCCTCAGTGCCCTCAGCAGCCCCAGTGTCCCCCAGTCCCCAGTCCCCCAGTGCCCCCAGTGTCCTCAGTGACCCAGCACCCACCAGCATCCCCAAGTCCCCAGTGCCCTCCAGAGCTCCCAGTGACCCCCAGTGCCCTCTAGTGTCCCCCAGTGCCTCCAGCACTCCCAGCACCCCACTGTCCCCCAGTGACTGCAGTGGCCCCTCCCAGTGCCCTCTGGTGACACCAGTGCCCTCCAGTGACTCCAGCCCCCCATCAATGCCTTCCAATGATCCCACTGCCCCCACACTGCCCCTCAGTGTCCCTCAGTGTCTCCCAGTGTCTCCCAGTGTCACTCGAGTGCCCCCAGTGTCCCAGTGTCCCCAGTGTCCCCAGTGTCCCCAGTGTCCCAGTATGGTGCCCCCTAGTGTCCCCAGTGCTGGTGCCCCTCAGTGTCCCCTCAATGTCCCCAGTGCCCCCAGTGTCCCTCAGTGCCCCTCAGTGTCCCCAGTGCCTCAGTGTCCCCAGTGTCCCCGAGTGTCCCCCAGTGCCCCTCAGTGTCCCCCAGTGTCTCCCCAGTGTCCCCAGTGTCCCCAGTGCCACCCAGTGCCCCAGTGCCCCTCACCACCCAGCAGCCGTTGCCCAGGTCGGCGATCTTGGCCAGCGCAGCCGGGGGCCGAGCGGGGGTCCAGGAGGTTCTCCTGCCCCCTGGCAGGCCCCCACCCTGGGAGGAGCCAGCAGGGGGCATTGGGGGAGTGGGGTACACCTGCCCACCACAACCCTTCCCCCTCCCACTGCCCCTCCCTAGCACACCCAATTGCCCCCAGTCCCCCTCCCATCCAAGAGCCCCCATTTGATTCCCCATTTCCCTCCCCTCTCCCCCAGTGCCCCTCTGGACCCTCCCCAACCCCAACACCCCTCCCCACCATTTCCATCCCCAATTGCCCCTCTAGACACCCCCCACCCCAATTTCCCCTCCCCCAACCCCGCTGCCTCCCAAACACGTCCCCAGTGCCCCCCAGCTGACCGAGGGGGGTGGGGAGCCCCTCGGAGCCCCCCGAGATGAGGGAGCTGGAGGTGGGGGTGAAGAGGGAGTCGGAGGCCGAGCTGGGGCTGAGGGGGCGCCGGGGGGGGCCCCTGGAGGCGCAGGAGCCCCCCGAGAAGCCGTCGCTGGAGCCCCCGGCCGGCAGCGTGTGGACCCCCGAGGAGGAGGCCCCGCTGGGGGGGCTCCCCCCCCCTTCCTCCAGGGGGTCCGGGGGGGCCTCTGTGGGAGGAAAAGAAGATCTTGAGACCACCCCCCTCCCTTCCCCCCAATCCTGGGTCCCCACATCGGCATCCCAATCCACCCAGCCCCCAAAACCTCCCAGGTTTCATTCATATCACCCCCCAGCAGGCCTCAGGGGGCTTGAGACATGAGGGACCCCCCCCAGCTCCTCATGGAACCCCCAAAATCAGCTGTCAGGGACCCTCCCCAAACCCACCCGGGGCTGCACCCCCAAAAACACCCCCTGGGGCCCTCCAAACAATTCTCTGGGGGCTCCTCCTGCCCCAGGATTCCCAAACCCACCCTGGGGACCCCAACTTAACTCTGGACCACTCCCCAAGATTCCCAAACCCACCTTGGGGACCCCAATTTAACTCTGGGCCACTCCCCAAGATTCCCAAACCCACCTTGGGGACCCCAACTTAACTCTGGGCCACCCCCAGGACTCCCAAACCTCCACTGGGGACCCCATTCCGCCTCTGAGACTCCCCCTAAACCCACCCTGGGGACCCCAATTTACTTCTGGGCCACCCCCCCCCGGACTCCAACCTGGGGACCCGAATTTAACCTTGAGGCTCCTCCCAGCCCCACCCTGGGGACCCCAATTCACCTCTGGACCAACCCCTCCCAATCACCGTCCCAAACCTACCCCGGACCCACCTCTGAGCCTTCCCCAAAACCCCACCCTGGGGACCCCAGTTTAACTCTCGGTCACCCCCTAAACTCCCAAACCTTAATTTATCCCTGAGGCTCCGCCCCCCCCAACCCCGGGGGATCTCAATTCACCTCTGGACCAACAAACCCTCCCTAATTACACCCCCTCATGACCCCCCCAACCCTGAGGGATCTCAATTCACCTCTGGACCAACAAACCCTCCTCATCACCCCCCCAACCCTGAGGGATCCCAGTTCACCTCTGCACCAACAAACCCTCCCCTCATCACCCCCCCAACCCTGAGGGATCCCAGTTCACCTCTGGACCAACAAACTCTCCCTCATCATCCACCCAACCCTGAGGGATCCCAGTTCACCTCTGGACCAACAAACCCTCCCTAATTACCCCCCCTCATGACCCCCCCAACCCTGAGGGATCCCAGTTCACTTCTGAACCAACAATTCCTCCCCCATCACCCTCCCAAACCCACCCTGGACCCACCCCAGCCTCCTCCCACCCCCACCCTCCATTTAACTCCGGGCTCTCCCCAGCCATCCCCAAACCCTCCTCACTCCCCTCTCCCCCCAACCCTTCCCAGTGCCCTCGGGACCCCCACCGAGCCCTCCCGACCGGCACCGCTGGGGGTCGCCGGGGACCCCCCGTGTCTCGCTGCCGCCCAGGTCCCTGCAGGCGCTGGGCCAGGAGCTGCCGCTGCCGCCGCTGCCTGCCGCTCGCCGCCGCCGCCGCTGCGCCCGCGACAGCTGCTCCTGGGGGCCTTCGCCGTGAGGGGGGCACAACGCAGGACCCCTCCTGATTTGGGGCTGGGGGCCCAACCCAGGGATCCCCCTTTGATCTGGGGGGTTGGGGGCTTTGCTGGAGAGGGGGCTCAAGCCAGGACCCCTCCCTTGATTTGGGGGTTGGGGGAGCGACAGCCGCTCCTGGGGGCTTCGCCGTGAGGGGGGCCCAAACCCAGGGACCCTCCCGATTTGGGGGAGTTGGGGGCCCAACCCAGGATCCCCTTTGATTGGGGTTGGGGAGGCGGCAGCAGCTTCGGGGGCTTGCCGTGAGGGGGGCCCAACCGAGGACCCCCTTAGATTTGGGGGTTGGGGGCCCAACCAGGACCCCTCCCCTTGATTTGGGGGCTGGGGCCCAACCTAGGACCCTCCCCTTTGATTTGGGGGCCGGGGCCCAACCCAGGGACCCTCCCCTTGATTTGGGGCCCAACCAAGAGACCCCCGCTGTGATTTGGGGGCTTGGGGGCCTCAACTCAGGGACCCCCTTGATCTGGGGTTGGGGGCTCAACCGAGGGACCCCCACTTTGATTTGGGGGTTGGGGGCAGTAGCTGCTCCTGGGGCTTCGCATTGGGAAGGGGGATCCAAACCCAGGGACCCCTCCCTTTGATTTGGGGGCTGGGGCCCAACCCATGCCCCCCTTTGATTTGGGGATTGAGGAGCAGCAGCAGCTCCTGGGGGGCTTTGCTTTGAGAGGGGGGCCAACCCAGGGACCCTCTCTTGATTTGGGGTTGGGGCCCAACCCATGGACCCCACCTTGATTTGGGGATTGAGGAGCGGCAGCAGCTCCTGGGGCTTCGCGGTGAGGGAGGGTCCAACTCAGGGACCCCTCCCGATTTGGGGTTGGGGGCCCAACCCAGGGACCCCCCTTTGATCTGGGGATTGAGGAGCAGCAGCTGCTCCTGGGGGCTTTGCTTTGAGAGGGGGCCCAACCCAAGGGACCCCCTCTTTGATTTGGGGGTTGGGGGCCCAACCCATGGATCCTCTCCCTTGATTTGGGGTTGGGGGCCCAACCCAGGTCCCCCCCTGAGGGGTTGGGGGCTCGACCGAGGAGGTTGGGGGCCCAACCCAGGGGACCCCTCCCCTTGATTTGGGGGTTGGGGGCCCAAACCCAGGGACCCCTTTAGATTTGGGGGCTGGGGCTCAACCCAGGGATCCCCTTGATTTGGGGGCCCACTGAGGACTCCCCACCCCGATTTTGGGGGTTGGGGGCAGGATGGATGGATTTAGGGGGGCAGAGCATCACATAGGGGACAGGCATGAGGGGACATGCAGGCGTGGAAGGGCGGGTGGGTGAGGGCGTGGGGGGCACATGAGGGCACACACGTGTGCAAGGACACGTGTGAGGAAGCAGATGAGGGCACACACATGTGCAAGGACACGTGTGAGGATGGACACGGGCAAGGACATGTGTGAGGAAGCAGATGAGGGCACACATGTGTGCAAGGACACGTGTGAGGGCAGGCACACGTGTGCAAGGACACGTGTGAGGATGGACACGGGCAAGGACACGTGTGAGGAGGCAGATGAGGGCACACACGTGTGCAAGGACACGAGTGAGGGCAGGACACGTGTGCAAGAACACACACATGAGCACTGTAAGGGCATGTGAAAGCACACACACGTGTGTGAGGACACGTGAGAGCACATACATGTGCAAGCACACGCGTGCAACCCCCCCCCAGCCACTCACGGGCTCGTCCTGGGGCGCAGAGCTCACTGCAGACAGAGGGGACACAGAGGGGGCTCAGCCCAGACCCCCCACCCCAGGGGTTCTGGGCTCTCCCAGTATGGTGGGGGATCGGGGGGTCCGTGTTGTTGGGGGCTCAGGGGTCCCTGCACTCCAGGGTGAAGTCAGGGGGTCCCTGCACTGTGAGGGGGATCTCAAGGGATCTCTGCACTGTGGGGTGCAGTCAGGGGGTCCCTGCACTGTGGGGGGGATCTCAGGGGGTCCCTGCACTGTGGGGTGCAGTCAGGGGGTCCCTGCACTCCTGGGGATGTCAGGGGGTCCCTGCACTGTGGGGGGGATCTCAGGGGGTCCCTGCACTGTGGGGTGCAGTCAGGGGGTCCCTGCACTCCAGGGGTGCAGTCAGGGGGTCCCTGCATTGTGCAGGGAGAGTCGGGGTCCCCTGCACTCCTGGGGGATAGGGGTCCCTGCACTCCTGAGGTGGATCCAGGGTCCCCTGCACTCCTGGGGGGATGTCAGGGGGTCCCTGCACTCCTGGGGGGATCTCAGGGGGTCCCTGCACTCCTGGGGGGATGTCAGGGGGTCCCTGCACTCCTGGGGGGATCTCAGGGGGTCCCTGCACTGTGGGGAGTCTCAGGGGGTCCCTGCACTGCTGGGTGCAGTCAGGGGGTCCCACGCACCCTGGGGATCCAGGGGATCCTGCACTCTGGGGTGTCAGGGGTCCCTGCACTGTGGGGTGCAGTCAGGGTTCCTGCACTCCTGGGTGGATCCAGGGGTCCCTGCACTGTGAGGGGACTCGGGGATCTCTGCACTGTGGGGCAGTCAGGGTCCCTGCACTGTGGGGGGATCCAGGGGTCCCTGCACTGTGAGGGATCTCAGGGATCCCTGCACTGTGGGGTGCAGGGGTCCTCACGTGGGGATTCAGGGGTCCCTGCACCCTGGGGGATCTCAGGCCTGCACCCTGGGAGTGTCAGGGGTCCCTGCACTGGGGTGCAGTCAGGGGGTCCCTGCACTCCTGGGGGGATGTCAGGGGGTCCCTGCACTGTGGGGTGCAGTCAGGGGGTCCCTGCACTCCTGGGGATGTCAGGGGGTCCCTGCACTGTGGGGTGCAGTCAGGGGGTCCCTGCACTCTGGGGGATCTCAGGGGGTCCCTGCACTCCTGGGGTGCATCAGGGGTCTCACTGCACTCTGGGGGATGTCAGGGGTCCCTGCACTCCTGGGGTGCATCAGGGGTCCCTGCACTCCTGGAGGGATCCAGGGGGTCCCTGCACTGTGGGGTGGATCCAGGGGGTCCCTGCACTGTGAGGGGGATCTCAGGGGGTCCCTGCACTGTGGGGTGGGGTCCCTGCACGAGGTGTCAGGATCCCTGCAGGAGTCAGGTCCTGCAGTGGGTGCAGTCAGGGGGTCTCTGCACTCCTGGGGTGCAGTCAGGGGGTCCCTGCACTGTGGGGGGGATCTCAGGTGGTCCCTGCGCTCCTGGGGTGGATCCAGGGGGTCCCTGCACTGCTGGGGTGATGTCAGCCAGGGGGTCCCTGCACTGTGAGGGGGATCTCAGGGGTCCCCACTGTGGGTGCAGTCGGGTCCCTGACCCTGGGGATCTCAGGGGGTCCCTGCACTCCTGGGGTGGATCCAGGGGGTCCCTGCACTGTGAGGGGGATCTCAGGGGGTCCCTGCACTGTGGGGTGGATCCAGGGGGTCCCTGCACTGTGAGGGGGTCTCAGGGGGTCCCTGCACTGTGGGGTGGTGTCAGGGGGTCCCTGCACTCCTGGGGGGATCTCAGGGGGTCCCTGCACTCCTGGGGTGCAGTCAGGGGGTCTCTGTACTCCTGGGGGGGCCACCCCCCCGTGCCCAGCACGCTGCCTCGGCCGCCAGCTGCCTCACAAAGGGCTCCCCAACGCACAGCAGGACGTTCTCAGGCTTGATGTCGGTGTGGATGATCTTGCACTTGGTGTGCAGGTAGTCCAGACCTTCCAGGACCTGTGCCCCAAAGCCCCCCCAAGTCAGGGGGGAGGAGGGGGGGACACCCTGTGATGTGCAACCCCCCTCCCACCCCCACCCAAAACCAACCTCCACAGGGAGAGGGGGTTATTTGGGCCAGGGGTGTGGGGGGGAGATAAGAGCTCCCCATGGGAATTGGGGAGGGGTCTAAAGGGATCCTGGGGGGATGTGGTGGCCATCTGGGTCTCCCCAATGCCCTCCAGTTACCCCAACACCCCTCCAGTGTCCCACAGTCCCTCCAGTGTTCCCCAGTGCCCTCCAGTGCCCCCAGTGCCCTCCAGAGCCCATTTGGGGTCCCTGTGGGGATCTGGGTGGGGGGAAAGGTCCACAGGGGAACTGTGGGGGTCTAGAGGGAACACCTCAGGTTCCTGTGGGAGTGGTGGCAGTGGAGCACGGGGGGATTTTTTGGAGGCCTCCAGGCAGGACATTTGGGGTGCCCTGGGGGGTGGGGGGAGGCTCAGGGGGATGCAGGGAGCCCCCCCTCACCCCCTCACCTGGCGCACGATGCTCTTGACGCAGGGCAGGGGCAGCCCCTGGTAGTTGGACTTGATGATCCAGCGCAGGAGTTGGTGGCCCAGCACCTCCAGCACCATGCACACATCTTGGGGGGGGGGCAAGTCAAGGAGCACCTGCACCCCCTGGGGACCTCCCTGCACACCTGGGGTGTCTCCTCTCCCTGCTCCCACCCTGGGGACCCCCCCCCCGAAAGGATACGGACGCCGTTGACCCCCGAGATCTTGAAGTCGTCGATGAGCTGCACGATGTTCTCGCGGTTGGGGTCGCTGGGATCCGAGTCCCGGACCTGGGAGGGGGTTTGGGAGGGGGGTGGGTTATGAGGGTGGAAGGGGTGGGGGTGGATCTGGGGGTCTCCTGTGGGAGGGGACTCACACATTTCAGCAGCTTGATCTCGTCCAGCGCCGTCTCCGTGTACTGCGGCGCGCTCTTCACCACCTTCAGCGCCACGAACCGCTTCCTCCTGCCCGGGGTGGGGCACCCACGGTCCAGGGGCACCCAAACAAAACCCCCCACCCCACCCCCCCAACCATCTTCCCCGGGGTTCCCCGCACTCACCGGAGGTCCCAGCAGAGCCACACGGTGGAGAAGTGTCCCCAGCCCAGCTTTCGCACCACGTGGTAGCGCCCGTGGAACAGGTCCCCGATCCGCACCGGGTAGTACCCGCCTTGGGGGGTTTGGGGGGGAGGAGGAAGGGTAGTTTGTCACCCTCAGGCATGGACACCCTTCCCCAGACCCTCCTGACCCCCCGTGGTGGTCCCCACCTTTGCAGTAATCCCGGGGGTCCTCCTGCTCCCCCTCGTCAGAGCCCAGCAGCGCCTCGGACAGCGGCAGCGGGGCCGGGGGGGCTCTGGGGACACGTCGCCGGGGGTGGGGGTCCTGGGGAGATAGCCAGGCTGGGAACCCCCACACCACGTCCTGGGGCTCCCACCACTCCCAATCCCCAGGACTCCCCAGGTATCTGCCCTTCCCCCTTTCATATCTGGTGCCTTCGGGGTGGGTCTCCAGGTATTTGCCCTCTCCCCAAAACTCCCCATACCTGATGCTTTCGGGGGTCTCCAGGGGTCCCAAGTGTCTGTCCCCTCCCCCTGCCCCTCCCCACCCCATACCTGGTCCCTTCGGGGGTCTCCCCCATTGCTGGGGGTGGCTCACAGGGTGGTCCCACAGCGGGGGGGGAAAAGCGGCAGGAAATGGTCCCAGAGCCCACCCCCGCCCCAGGAGGAAGGGGATGGGTGGGGGGAGGTGCGGGGCACGCTGGGACATCACCCCCCCCAAAATAGAAATGATCTCAAGGCCCCCCGGCCCCGCAGGGCTAAAAATAGCCCCGGCAGGGGGAGGGGAGGCCCCAGAATGTGTCGTGTGTGTGTCCCCCCCACCTCAACCGGCCATGAAAGGGGGCTCTGCTTGTGTCCCGAACCCCCCCCTCTAAGCTGCATAAGGGTCACGGGGGGCTCTTGGGGGGTCGTGACCCCGCTGACCCCCCTCGTGTCCCCCCCTCACCGTGGGGGAGGTTTCTGTTTTTTGTCCTTTTTGCGCTTTTTCTTTCTCCTGACGGGATCTGGGGGGGACGGTGTCACGAGGGGGTTGCTGCATCACAGCCCCCCCCCACCTTGTTGTCCCCCAGGGACCCCCCGTTCCACCCCAGAACCCACCCCCGCACTCCTCAATCCCCCAACCCAGGCACCCCCCACCGCAGGACGTCCCTTTTGCCCCCAGAAAACGCCCTGAACCCCCACAAACCCTCTCTCAGGACCCCCAAGTCCCTCCTGAGTAGCCGACCCCCCCAGGGACCCCTCAAGTTCCCCCAAGGCTCCCGACCTTCACTTTCCCCTCACACTCCCCCATCCCCTCAGGAACCCCCCTTTCCCTCAGCCCCCTTCTCCCCTCACGCCCCCTCAAGACCCTTCTGGGTGCCTCCTTTACCCTCAGCCTCCTCAGGACCCCCCGCCTCCCCTTTCCCTCAGCCCCCCTCAGGACTCCCCCTTGCCCTCAGCCCCCTCAGGACCCCCAGCCGCTCTTTCCTCAGCCCCCTCAGGACTCCCCCTTTCCCTCTGAACCCCCTCTCCCCTCACGCCCCCTCAGGACAGCCCTGACCCCCCCTTTCCCTCAGCTCCCCTTGCCCTCAGACCCCCATGACCCCCTCTATTTCCCTCAGCCCCCTCAGGACCACCACCCTTTCCCTCAGCCTCCCCCTTGCCCTCAGCCCCCTCAGGACCCCCAGGTGCCCCCGCTTGCCCTCAGCCTCCCTCAGGACCCCATGACCTCCCCTTTCCCTCAGCCCCTCTCAGGACCATCCCCCTTTCCCTCAGCCTCCCCTTGCCCTCAGATCCCTCAGGACCCCCAGGTGCCCCCTTGCCCTCAGCCCCCCTTGCCCTCAGATCCCTCAGGACCCCCGGCCTCCCCCTTTCCCTCAGGCCCCTCAGGATCACCCCCTTTCCCTCAGCCCCCCTTGCCCTCAAACCCCTCAGGATCCTCCAGGTGCCCCTCTTGCCCTCAGCCCCCTCAGGACCCCCCACCCTTTCCCTCAGCTCCCCCTGCCTCAGCCCCTCAGGACCCCCCCAGGTGCCCCCTTTCCCTCAGCCCCCTCAGGACTCCCCCTTGCCCTCAGCCCCCTCAGGACCCCCAGGTGCCCCCCTTTCCTCAGCCCCTCAGGACTCCCCCCTTCCCTCAGTCCCCCTCAGGACCCCCAGGTGCCCCCCTGCCTCAGCCCCCTTGCCCTCAGATCCCTCAGGACCCCGGACCTCCCCTTCCTCAGGCCCCCTCAGGATCACCCCCTCCTGCCCCCTTGCCCTCAAACCCCTCAGGATCCCTCGGGTGCCCCTCTTGCCCTCAGTCCCCTCAGGACCCCCCACCCTTTCCTCAGCTCCCCCTTGCCCTCAGCTCCTCAGGAACCCTCCCCACTTTCTCTCAGCCCCCTTGCCTCAGACCCCTCAGGAACCCCAGGTACCCCCTTTCCCTCAGCCCCTCAGGCCCCCAGGTGCCCCCTTTCCTAAGCCCCCTCAGGACTCCCCTTTCCCTCAGCCTCCCCGTCAGGACCCCCAGGTGCCCCCATTTTCCTCAGCCCCTTCAAGACCCCCTCCTTGCCCTCAGCCCACTCAGGACCCCAGGTGCCCCCCTTGCCTTAGCCCCCTCAGGACCCCCTCTTTCCCTCAGCCCCCTCAGGACCCCCCTTTCCTCACGCCCCCCTCACCGGGCCCCCTCGCAGCTCCATCCCGCGCGCCCCGCTCCCCGCGCGCGCTGGCGGGCGGGCGGGCGGGCAGCGATCGGAGTGGGGGGCGGGGCGAGAAAACCACGGACCAATGAGGAGCCGCCGTAGGACACGCCCCCCCTGTGCCACGCCCACTCGTCGCCATGGAAACGCGGCGGCGGCGCGAGAAGCGCTCCCAGCGCTCGTTTTGTCGCGATAGAACGGGACTCCCAACACCACCCCCCACACCCGAGAGCCTCACGATATCGCGACAGCGTCCCCCCAAAACCCCGGTGTGCCCCCAAGGCCCCACGGCCCGTTCACTGAGTGGCTTCACCCCCTCCTCACGAACACACACACAGAGCGCGCCACGACTGACGTCACCCCTCGCGCCCGCCCTCGCCGCTGATTGGCTGCCGCCATCCGCGCGTCACTCCAGCGCGACGCGTAACCATGGCAACCGCGAGGTAAACTAGGCCCAAAACCAGGCCCGGGACCCCCCAAACGGGCCCAGGTACCCCCTGAGCAGCCCCGCGCCCGCCCCCCCACACGGCTTTTACCGCCCCTCCGAGGGGGTTGAGCCCCTCCCAGAGACCCCGAAAGGTGCCAGGGCGCTGAGCCCCCACAGAGGGGTCTGGGGACCCCCCCTGCCTGTCCTGGGGAGGGTGTGTGTGGGGGGGGTGAATGAGCCCCCCCACGAAGAGACGGCGCCAGGGGGCTGATGGGCATCAGTTTAATAACGGGGAGCACGGGGGTGTCGGGGGGCAGCACCTCCGGCCTCCTCCTTTTACCCCCCCTTAGCCCCCGGGGTGCTGGTGGGGGGCAGAGGAGGGCAGGATGCTCAGGGAGGGGCAGGAGGCAGACTGGGGGACCCCACTTCCCATCCCCAAACAGCGAAATCCCACGGGGGCCGGTGGGGGGAAGAAAGTGGGGAGACCCTACAAAAAATAGGGACCCCCAACCTTTTCTCCCACCCCTCTTTCCCCAGTCTTTCCCCCCACCCCAGCTGTAACTTTGGGGAGAAGGGAGGGGCTTCACAACCCCAAAAAAAGCCGAGGTTCCTCCCGCGGCGTCCAGCGCTATGTCCCCCTCCCCTCCCCTCCCGGGCCCTGCAAGCGGGGATTTGGGGTGGTGTCCCCCAAAAAAAAAAAAAAAAAATAATAAAACCCCCCGCCATGCACCGAGAGGTCCCTTGGGGGGGCCGGGGGGGGGCTCGGGGCGCAGTCCTGGGGGTTCAATATCAACTCTTGTCGGCGTTGGGGTCTCTGTGGCGGGAGGTTTTCATGGTCTCCAGGTACTCCTGCTGCGACACGGCCAGCACCGACGCCAGGATCTCGTCGTCCTCCCAGTCGTTCAGGCCTGGGGTGGGGCAGGGAGGGGGACACGCCCTCCCCCCAAAAAAAAATCAGGGAGGGGGTTGGAGTTTGAGGAGGGGAGTTCACCCCACCACGGGGATCCCCTCCTGTCCCACCCCAGAGCGATGGAAGCGACCCCCCCCAAAACGTGGCTGAGTAAAAAGTGAGGGGCTCCTCCCAAATTAGAGATCGAGTCCAGCCCCAAAACTGCAGGGAAAGGGGGTAAAACCCTCCCTTTTCCCTCAAATCCCAAGCACTGAGCCCCCCCAAAAAAACTCACGATCGAGGTTTGGACCCAACGTAACCAAAACCGAAAATTCTCTCCCTAAAAAGCATCAACCACCCCCCTCCCAAAACAACCACCCTAAACCTCCCCCACCCCAAATCCACCCCCACCAAGCCCTCAAAATCGCAGGAAAGGGATTAAAGGCATTAAAACTCCTCCCCAGGGGATCTTTTCCCTCCAAACCCCTCAAAAGTCAGGATCACCCCCTCCCTAACCCCGAATTTTAAGCCGAATTTTCCCAGACCTAAAATTCTCCTTCCCCCAAAAAAACCCCACCCACCCAAATCTCCCCCAGCCCCCCTGCTCACCGAAGGCTGTGGGGGACATTTGCTGCATGATGGCCCTGCACTCCAGGGCGGGGTACAGGGACACCAGAGGGGGGGTGGCCCGGCCCCCCCCTGCCCCCAGCTGGCTGCTGGTCCCTGGAGGGGGGGGACACACAAAGAGAGGGGGGGGTTTGAGCTCTAGGAACCCCAATTCTGACCCCCCCCCCTACTCACAAACTTCCCTGCCCCTCCAAGAGCCAATCTGGGGGGGTACCAGCACCCCAAAAAGTCCCCAGTGCCCTCCCCAGGTGTATATTTGGGGGTCCTCCCAGGTCACTTTTGTACCCAGTTAACCCCCCCCAGCAACCCCCTTTCAGTTCCTCCAGCATCCCACGACACCCACTTTGGGCTCCCCAACACCCCACAAACACCCCACAAACACTTCGTAACACCCCATAAATAACACCCTGTAACACCCCCTTTGGGCTCCCCAGCACCCCATAAACACCCCATAACACCCACTTTGGGCTCCCCAGCACCCCATAACACCCTATAAACACCCCACAACACCCCCTATGGGCTCCCCAGCACCCCATAAACACCCCACAAACACTTCGTAACACCCCATAAATAACACCCTGTAACACCCCCTTTGGGCTCCCCAACATCCCATAAACATCCCAAACACCCCATTTGGGCTCCCCAGCACCCTATAAACACCTCACGACACCCCCTTTGGGCTCCCCAGCACCCCATAACACCCTATAACACCTTATAACACCCCACAACACCCCCTATGGGCTCCCCAGCACCCCATAAACACCCCATAACACCCCATAAACACCCCATAAACCCCCTTTAGGCTCCCCAGCACCCCCCAGCACCCCCTCTCCCCCAGCCCTGCCCTCCCCCTCTCCCCCAGTGCCATCACCCACCTGGGGCACAGGGCGAGGGGTTTCCGGCCGGGGGCTCAGGCGAGGGGTTTGGGGCCGAGCCCTCGGGGTGCAGCCCGGGTGCTCTGGGGAGGGGGCTGCGCTGCGGGGCCTGGGAGGCGCCCGCTCCACTCCTCCAGCCCGCTGGCGGCGCGGCCGTGGCCGAGCTGCACGTGGCGCTGGCCTTGCGGGGCTGCGGGGACAGGGGGGTCACCAGGGGGACACGGGGGTCAGCAGGGGGACACAGGGACTGGGAGGTCACCTCAGGGACAGGGGGATCACCAAGGGGACAGGGGAGTCACCAAGGGGACAGGGGGTCACCAGGGGGACAGGGGGTCACCAGGGGACACAGGGACCGGGGGGCCGCGGCCGTGGCCGAGCTGCACGTGGCGCTGGCCTTGTGGGGCTGCGGGGACAGGGGGCTCACCAGGGGGACAGGGGGTCACCAGGGGGACACAGGGACAGGGGGTCACCAACGGGACAGGGGGTCAGCAGGGGGGACAGGGGGTCACCAGGGGACACAGGGACAGGGGGTCACCAGGGGACAGGGGGTCACCAAGGGGACAGGGGGTCATCAGGGGACAGGGGGTCACCAGGGGACAGGGGGTCACCAAGGGGACAGGGGGACACGGGGGTCACCAGGGGACAGGGGGTCAGCAGGGGACAGGGGTCATCGGGGGACAGGGGGGTCACCAGGGGGACAGGTGGGTCATCAGGGGGACAGGGGGTCACCAGGGGACAGGGGGTCACCTCGGGGACAGGGGGGTCACCAGGGGGACACAGTGACAGGGGGTCACCAGCGGGACAGGGGGTCAGCAGGGGGACAGGGGGTCAGCAGAGGGACAGGGGGTTCACCTCCAGGGACAGGGGGGTCACCAGGGGGACAGGGTGGTCACCAAGGGGACAGGGGGTCACCAGGGGGACAGGGGGCACGGGGTCAGCAGGGGACAGGAGGTCACCTCAGGGACAGGGGGTCACCAGGGGGACAGGGGAGTCATCAGGGGGACACAGGGACAGGGGAGTCACCAAGGGGACAGGGGGTCACCAGGGGGACAGGGGGGTCACCAGGGGGACAGGGGGTCACCTTGGGGACAGGGGACAGGGGGGTCACCTCGGGGACAGGGAGTCACCAGGGGACAGGGGGTCACCAGGGGGACATGGGGAGAGGGGGTCACCAATGGGACAAGGGGGGTCATCAGGGGGACACAGGGGTCACCAGGGGAGATGGGGACAGGGAGGTCACCTCGGGGACACCAGGGACAGGGGGGTCATCAGGGGGACAGGGGGACAAGGGGGTCACCAAGGGGACACAGGGACAGAGGGGATCACCTCAGGGACACAGTGGTCACCAGGGGACAGGGGGGACACAGGGATAGGGGTTCATGTCGGGGACACGGGGACAAGGGGATCACCTCGGGGACACGGGGGTCACCTCAGGGACAGGGGGACACAGGGACAGGGGGGGTCACACCTCAGGGATACAGGGACAGGGAAACGGGGATGGGGGGGTCATCTCTGGGACAAGGGAGTCACCTCGGGGACACGGGGACAGGGGAACAGGGGGATCACCTCGGGGACAGAGAGAAAGGGGAGTCACCTCAGGGACACAGGAACAGGGGGGTCACCTCGGTGACAGGGGGGTCACCTCGGGGACACAGGGGTCACATTGGAGACACAGGAGTCACCTCTGGGACAGGGGAGTCACCCTGGGGACACAGGGGTCACACTGGGGACAGGGGGGTCACATTGGGGACACAGGAGTCACCTCGGGGACACAGGGACAGGGGAACAGGGGGGTCACCTCGGGGACAGGGGGGTCACACTGGGGACACAGGGGTCACCTCTGGGACAGGGGGACAGGGGAGTCACCTCGGGAACACAGGAACAGGGGAAGAGGGGGTCACCTTAGGGCACAGGGTCACCTCTGGGGACAGGGGACAGGGAGTCACCTCGGAACACAGGAACAGGGGAAGAGGGGGGTCACCTTGGGGACAGGGGGATCACCTTGGGGACACAGGGGTCACACTGGGGACACAGGGGTCACCTCTGGGACACAGGGACAGGGGGACAGGGGAGTCACCTCGGGGACACGGGGACAGGGGAACAGGGGGGTCACCTCAGGGACAAGGGGGTCACATTGGGGACACAGGGATCACATTGGGAACCCAGGGGTCACCTCTGGGACAGGGGGACAGGGGAGTCACCCTGGGGACACAGGAGTCACATTGGGGACACGGGGTCACCTCTGGGACAGAGGGACAGGGGAGTCACCCTGGACAGGGTGACCAGGACCCCATCACAGGGGTTCCCCGTCACAGCTCAAGGTGGGGGGGTGAGGGGAGGGGTCCCTGGGGGTCCCACCTGCCGCGCCTGCTTCTCCTGGTCGCGCAGCCACTGCAGGTAGGACTCGCGGGCCACCTGCTCCTCGATGGCCTCGTTGGTGGCCTCCCAGTCGGTGGCGCGTTTCTTGTCCTCCAGCATCTGCTGCTCGATCCACGACTCCTCCGACGTCTTGATGGCGCTTTTCATCAGCGACTGCTCCGCCAGCTGCGCCACCACACGGGGAGGGAGGGGCCGGGATCAGGACACACCCACTCGGGGACACGCCCCCTCCTCGGAAGGCTCCACCCCCCAGGTGCAAAGGGGTGGGGCCACACCAGACCACACCACACCCCAAGCAGGGAGGCTCCACCCCCTCAGCACAGCTGGTGGGGGCCCCAAAGCCATGCCACTGCCACACCCTCTGGGTCCATGCACCCTCTGGGTCACACCCCATAGGCCACACCCTCTAGGACATGGTCACACCCTACCAATCTGGGTCACACCCTAGCCACTCTGGGTCACACCCCAATAGGCCACACCCTCTATGCCACACCCTCTGGGTCACACCCCAACAGGCCACACCCTCTGGCTCACACCCTAATAGGCCACACCCTCAACAGGCCACACCCTCTGGGTCACACCCCAATAGGCCACGCCCTCTATGACACACCCTCTGGGTCACACCCCAATAGGCCACACCCTCAACAGGCCACACCCTCTGGGTCACACCCCAACAGGCCCCACCCACAACAGGCCACACCCTCTGGGTCACACCCCAACAGGCCACACCCTCTGCAGGTCACACCCCAACAGGCCACACCCTCTGGGTCACACCCCAATAGGCCACACCCTCTGCAGGTCATACCCCAATAGGCCACACCGTCTGGGTCACACCCCCAACAGGCCACACCTCTCTGTATTTAAGCCACGCCCCAAAAGAGGCAGAAAGGCCCCGCCCCCATTCACACGGGTGCCCTGAGCAAGCGGTTTGAAGGAGGGCAGCCCCAGCCCCCTCCCCAAATCCCCCAGCCCTACACACCCCCAGACTCAAACCAGGCAGCCTCAGACTCCCCTCAGACCCCCCAAAACCCACCTACCCCGGTTTGAAGGAGGGCAGCCCCTAGAGCCCCAGAGCCCACCTATCCCTGGTTTGAAGGAGAGCAGCCCCCCAGAGCCCACCTACCCTCGGTTTGAAGGAGGGCAGCCCCCATAGCCCACCTACCCCGGTTTGAAGGAAGCAGCCCCCAGAGCCCACCTACCCCCGGTTTGAAGGAAAACAGCCCCCAGAGCCCACCTACGGTTTGAAAGAGGCCCCAGAGCCCACCTACCCCCAGTTTGAAGGAGGGCACCCCCCAGACCCTCCCAAAGCCCACCCACCCCGGGTTTGAAGGAGGGCAGCCCCTCAGACCCTCCCAAAGCCCACCTACCCTGGTTTGAAGGATGGCAGCCCCAGAGCCCACCTACCCCCAGTTGGAAGGAGGGCAGCCCCAGAGCTCACCTACCTCGGTTTGAAGGAGAGGCATCCTCCCAAAGCCCACCTACCCCCGGTTTGAAGGAGGCAGCCCCCAGAGCCCCCTACCCCTGGTTTGAAGGAGGTAGCCTCCCAGACCCTCCCAAAGCCCACCTACCCCAGTTTGAAGGATGGCAGCCCCCAGAGCCCACCTACCCTCGGTTTGAAGGAGGCAGCCCCCAGACCCCCAGAGCCCACCTACCCCGGTTTGAAGGAGGGCAACCCCCAGACCCCCAGAGCCCACCTACCCCTGGTTTGAAGGAGGCAGCCCCCAGAGCCCACCTACCCTGGTTTGAAGGAGGGCAGCCTCCCAGACCCTCAGAGCCCACCTACCCCTGGTTTGAAGGAGGGCAGCCCCCAGACCCTCCCAGAGCCCACCTACCCCGGTTTGAAGGAGGGCAGCCCCCAGACCCTCCCAAAGCCCACCTACCCCGGTTTGAAGGAGGGCAGCCCCCAGACCCCAGAGCCCACCTACCCCTGGTTGGAAGGAGGGCAGCCCCCAGAGCCCACCTACCCTGGTTTGAAGGAGGGCAGCCTCCCCAGACCCCCAGAGCCCACCTACCCCTGGTTTGAAGGAGGGCAGCCCCCCAGACCCTCCCAGAGCCCACCTACCCTGGTTTGAAGGAGGGCAGCCCCCAGACCCTCCCAGAGCCCACCTACCCCTGGTTTGAAGGAGGGCAGCCCCCAGAGCCCACCTACCCTCGGTTTGAAGGAGGGCAGCCTCCCATAGCCCACCTACCCCCGGTTTGAAGGAAGCAGCCCCCCAGAGCCCACCTACCCCCGGTTTGAAGGAAAACAGCCCCCAGAGCCCACCTACCCCGGTTTGAAGAGAGCCCCCAGAGCCCACCTACCCCCAGTTTGAAGGAGGCACCCCCAGACCCTCCCAAAGCCCACCCACCCGGTTTGAAGGAGGGCAGCCCCCAGACCCTCCCAAAGCCCACCTACCCCGGTTTGAAGGATGGCAGCCCCCAGAGCCCACCTACCCCCAGTTGGAGGGAGGGCAGCCCCAGAGCTCACCTACCCCGGTTTGAAGGAGGGCATCCCCCAAAGCCCACCTACCCCTGGTTTGAAGGAAGCAGCCCCCAGAGCCCCCTACCCCTGGTTTGAAGGAGGTAGCCTCCCCAGACCCTCCCAAAGCCCACCTACCCCCAGTTTGAAGGATGGCAGCCCCCCCAGAGCCCACCTACCCTGGTTTGAAGGAGGCAGCCCCCAGAGCCCCCTACCCGGTTGGAAGGAGGGCAGCCCTCCCAAAGCCCACCTACCCCCGGTTTGAAGGAGGGCAGCCCCCCCAGAGCCCACCTACCCCCGGTTTGAAGGAGGGCAGCCCCCAGAGCCCACCTACCCTCGGTTTGAAGGAGGGCAGCCCCCAGAGCCCCCCTACCCCTGGTTTGAAGGAGGGCAGCCTCCCAGACCCTCCCAGAGCCCACCTACCGGTTTGAAGGATGGCAGCCCCCCCAGACCCTCCCAAAGCCCACCTACCCCTGGTTTGAAGGAGGGCAGCCCCCCCAGACCCTCCCAAAGCCCACCTACCCCTGGTTTGAAGGAGGGCAACCCCCAGACCCCCCAGAGCCCACCTACCCCTGGTTGGAAGGAGGGCAGCCCCCAGAGCCCACCTACCCCGGTTTGAAGGAGGCAGCCTCCCTAGACCCCCCAGAGCCCACCTACCCTGGTTTGAAGGAGGGCAGCCCCCCCAGACCCTCCCAGAGCCCACCTACCCCCGGTTTGAAGGAGGGCAGCCCCCCCAGACCCTCCCAAAGCCCACCTACCCCGGTTTGAAGGAGGCAGCCCCCAGACCCCCAGAGCCCACCTACCCCTGGTTTGAAGGAGGGCAGCCCCCAGAGCCCACCTACCCCCGGTTTGAAGGAGGCAGCCTCCCCAGACCCCCCAGAGCCCACCTACCCCTGGTTTGAAGGAGGGCAGCCCCCAGACCCTCCCAGAGCCCACCTACCCTGGTTTGAAGGAGGCAGCCCCCAGACCCCCCCAGAGCCCACCTACCCCTGGTTGGAAGGAGGGCAGCCCCCCCAGAGCCCACCTACCCCCGGTTTGAAGGAGGCAGCCCCCAGACCCCCCAGAGCCCACCTACCCTCGGTTTGAAGGAGGCAGCCCCCAGAGCCCACCTACCCTCGGTTTGAAGGATGGCAGCCCCCCCAGAGCCCACCTACCCCTGGTTTGAAGGAGAGCAGCCCCCAGAAGCCCACCTACCCTCGGTTTGAAGGAAAGCAGCCCCCCAGAGCCCACCTACCCCCGGTTTGAAGGAGGCAGCCCCAGACCCCCAGAGCCACCTACCCCTGGTTTGAAGGAGGGCAGCCTCCCCAGACCCTCCCAAAGCCCACCTACCCCTGGTTTGAAGGAGGGCAGCCCCCCCAGACCCTCCCAAAGCCCACCTACCCCCAGTTTGAAGGAAAGCAGCCCCCCCAGAGCCCACCTACCCCCGGTTTGAAGGAGGGCAGCCCCAGCCCCACGCCGATGGTGGCCTTGTTGGGGTTGACCACGGAGTTGTAGTGGATGTTCCGGTGGTAGCTGACCCGGATGGGCTCGTCCTCGTTGTGCTGGATCCCGTGGAACGTGTTGATGGGCTCTGCAGGCATGGGGGGCACCCCACTGATCCACGGGGACCCCCGAAATAACGCCCAGGGACCCCCTTAACCCTCCTGCAGGTACGTGGGGACCCCCAAAATGGCACCTGGGAACCCCCAGGAACCCCCCCATCCACCAGTGGAGGACCCCTCCCTGCTGTCCCCAGTGCTTTGACACCCCTGTGCTTTGGGGACCCCCTTCTCGCTGTCCCCAGTGCTTTGAGGACCCCTGTGGCACCTCGGGGACCCCCTCCCTGCTGTCCCCAGTGCTTTGGGGACCCCTGTGGTACCTCAGGGACCCCCTCCCCGCTGTCCCCAGCGCTCTGGGGACCCCTGTGTCACCTCGGGGACCCCCTCCCTGCTGTCCCCAGTGCATCGGTACCCCTGTGGCACCTCAGGGACCCCCTCCCCAGTGTCCCCACTGCCCTGTGGCACCTTAGGAACCCCCTCCCCCCTGTCCCCAGCGCTCTGGGGACCCCTGTGTCACCTCGGGGCCCCCTCCCTGCTGTCCCCAGTGCTTTGGGGACCCCTGTGGCACCTCAGGGACCCCCTCCCCACTGTCCCCAGTGCTTTGGGGACCCCCTCCCCACTGTCCACAGTGCATCGGCACCCCTGTGTCACCTCGGGGCCCCCCTCCCCGCTGTCCCCAGTGCATTGGCACCCCTGTGTCACCTCAGGGACCCCCTCCCCGCTGCCCCCTGTGCTTTGGGGACCCCTGTGTCACCTCAGGGACCCCTCCCCAGTGTCCCCAGCGCTCTGAGGACCCCTGTGGTACCTCGTGGCCCCCCTCCCCGCTGCCCCCTGTGCTTTGGGGGACCCCTCTGGGGACCCCTGTGTCACCTCGGGGCCCCCCTCCCCACTGTCCCCAGTGCATTGGTACCCCTGTGTCACCTCGGGGACCCCCTCTCCGCTCTCCCCAGCACTCTGGGGACCCCTGTGGCACCTTGTGGCCCCCTCCCCACCGCCCCCAGCACCCAGGGGACCCCTGTGTCACCTCAGGGCCCCCTCCCCAGCTGCCCCCAGCGCCCAGGGGCCCGTGCCACGCACCGGTGCCGTACTGGTAGACCTCGACGGGCCGGTTGTACATCTCGGCCATGGCCTGCATCTCGATGTGGTTGCCGTGGCAGGTGCTCTTGCGCTTGCGGTTGATGTAGGTGGTGAAATCCTCGGTCACGTAGTTGGAGAAGTAGTCGGCGTTTTTCATCTGCGGCACGAGGGGGGTGTGGGTGGGGTGGTGGGGGGAGGAGGAGGATGTTTGGGATGTCATGGGTACAAAGAGGGGGGGATGACACGGGAGACCCCCATCTCCCAGGGGTGAGGAGGACAGGGATGGCGGGGGGGCCACAGGGGCACTGGAGACATGAGCTGGGAGGCCTTGGGGACATGGGGGGCCTTGGGGCACTGAGGCAGCTCTGGGGATGGGAGTGGGGGCCTTGGGGACACTGGGGAGGCCTTGGGGACACTGAGGCAGCTCTGGGGACACGAGTTGGGAGGCCTTGGGGACACTGGGGGCGCCTTGGGGACACTGAGGCGGCTCTGGGGACATGAATTGGAGGCCTTGGGGACACTGGGGAGCTCTGGGGACATGAGGAGGCCTTGGGGACACTGGGGGCCTAGGACTTGGGAGAGATGAGTGCACTGTGGGGGAGCTCTGGGGACACTGGGGGCCTGGGACATGAGTTGAAGGCCTGGGACACTGGGGGGGCCTTGGGGACACTGGGAGGCCTTGGGGACACTGGGGGGGCCTTGGGGACACTGAGGCAGCTCTGGGGACATGAATTGGGAGGCCTTGGGGACACTGGGGGAGCTCTGGGGACGGGAGTGGGGGTGCCTTGGGGACACTGGGGAGGCCTTGGGGTCACTGGGGGAGATGAGTGCACTGTGGGGGAGCTCTGGGGACACTGGGGGTGCTCTGGGGACATGAGTAGGGCGGCCTTGGGGACACCAAGGAAGCCTTGGGGGCATTGGAGGAAAGGGGTGCACTGTGGGGGAGCTCTGGGGACATGAGTGGGGAGGCCTTGGGGATGCTGAGAGGCCTTGGGGACACTGGGGGTGCTCTGGGGACACGAGTTGGGGGCCTTGGGGACATTGGAGGAGCTTCAGGGACACTCGGGGGCCTTGGGGACACTGGGGGAGCCCTGGGGACACGGTGGGGGTTGGGGGAGTGACAGCAGCCCAGTCCCACCCAGCGCTCTGAGCACCGTCCCAGTCCATCCCAGTGCCTCCCAGAACAGCCCAGTGTCCTTCCAATCCCTCTCCCGTGGCTCACAGTCCATCCCTGCACCCCCCAGAACCCTCAGCTGCCCCCCAGTCCCCTCCCAGTGCCCTCCCAGTCCCCTCCCAGTGCCCTCCCAGCATCCTCCATGTAACTCAGTGCCTCCAGTGCCCTCCCAGTGCCCCCAAATCCCCTCCCAGTGCTTTCCTAGCATCCCCTAGCCCCTCCCAGTGCCCCCAAATCCCTCCCAGTGCCCTCCCAGCATCCCCATGTACCTCAGTACCCTGAGTCCCCTCCCAGTGCCCTCCCAGCATCCCCCATGTACCTCAGTACCCCTGAGTCCCCTCCCAGTGCCCCCAAATCCCCTCCCAGTGCCCTCCCAGCATCCCCCACGTACCTCAGTACCCCCGAGTCCCCTCCCAGTGCCCCCCAGTGCCCCCCAGTGCCTCACCAGGTAGTCCATGCAGTGCTTCCTCACCACCTCGTGCATGTCCTGGTCTCCGTACACCTGATCAGCTGAGGGAGGGGACACCAAAGGACAGTGAAGGGAGGAGGGAGGGGGTGCCAGCCCCGTGCTGGGGGTGTTGGGGGGCTCAGGGGTTCAGGGGCTCACCCACGGCCCGGAACAGGCAGGCCCCGTCCTCCTTCATGCGCTTGATGATGAAGCCTTTCTTCTCCCGCAGAGCCTTCTCGAACCGGTGCTCCTGCTGGAGACACAGCCGGGCTCGGGGGGCTCTGGGGGCACCTGGGGGCTGAGGGGAGGGGCTCAAGGGGCAGGGAGGGGAGGGACATGTGGGGGGAGCACAGGAGAGCCCAGGTGACACAGGGACACACGGGGGGACAGGGGGCTATGTGGGGAAAAGGGAGAGGGTACAGGTTGGGGGGAGGGGGTAAGGGGATCCTGGGGTGGAGGGGTTACAAGGTGGGGTCCCAGGTGGGTGCATGACATGGGGAGAAATGGGAGGATCCTGGGGGTTTCCAGGGTGGGTACATGAAATGGGGACAAGGATGGGGTCTTGGGGGGGGTTGCAGGCAGTGGGGACAAGGAGAGGGGGCTCAGGGTGGAAATGGGGGATCCTGAGGAGGTTACAAACACTGGGGACAAGGAGGGGGGGCCAGGGTGGGTACATGAAATGGGGATAAGGATGGGATCTTGTGGGGGTTACAGGCAGTGGAGACAAGTGGAGGGTCTCAAGGTGGAAATGGGGACAAATGGGGGATCCTGGAGGGGTCACAGGCAGTGGGGACAAAGGGAGAAACACCCAGCAAGGATTAAGGGGGATCCAGGGGACACGGGGGGATGGGCAGTGGGGACAAGGGGGGATGCCAGGGAAGATCCCGTGGGGGGCACAAACACGGGGAACACGGGGAATGGCAGGGCAGGGACACGCAGCAGGGACAGAGGGGGACCCCAGGGGGGCACACACAGGGGGATCCTGGAGGGGGGATCCCCAAAACGGGAACAAAACCCTCGTGTGACACACGAGGCACAATTGTGTTGGGGGAAGGGGGGTGTGTTTGACACCACGGGGACAATGGAGGGGACCCCAAACCCCCTCAGGTTATCCCGGTGTCCCTCTGCCATTCCCCTCCCCCGGCTCCCCCGGTCCCCGCACCTGCTCGGCCGTGGCCGGGTCCATCTCCACCCTGCCGGCCTCGTACTCGTCCTCGCTGTTGTATCCTCCTCCCGCCTCGTCGGGGCCGGGGCTGCCGCACCCGGGGCCCAGCCCCAGCCCCAGCGCGATCCCCCCGGGGCCGGACCCCCCTCCGGGCCCTCCGCTGGGCCCGGCCCCGCCTCGCCGCCGCCTCTTGCTGTGCCCGGGGCCGCCGCCGCCTCCGCCGCCGCAGCCGGGCCCGCGGGGCTCGGGCAGCCCCAGCGCCGCCGCCTCCAGCCCCAGCAGCGCCGCGGGTCCGTCCGCCGCTCCGGGCCCGCCGCTGCCGGGCCCGCCGGGCCCCGCGGGCGGGGGAGAGCCGGCGGCTCCGGGCAGGCCGGCCCAGCCCCGCAGCGGCGGCGGCGGCGAGGCCCTGGGCCGGGGTCCCCCACGCCGGGCCCGCCGGGCTCGCCGACGCCGCCGGGGCCGCGCTCGGGACCCGCGTCCGCGCCGCGCTCGGCGCCCGCGTCCTGGCACGGGTCCGCGTCGCCGTCGGGCGCCGGCACCGGCTTCTTCTTCGGGAGGATCGTCATGGCCGGGAGCGCATGAGGGGAAAGGGGGAGCGCTCCGGTGTTGTGGAGGAGGGGGGGTAAACCGGGGAGGCCGCGCGGGTTGAGAGGGGGGGTTTTTTAGAGCGCTACCCACGCGGTGCTGGCGATGCCGGCGCTGGCGGGGCCCGCTCGGGGACGGGGCTCGGTCGGGCCCCCCCGCGGGAGGCGGCGGGGCCGGCGCTGAGGGGCTGCGGCCGCCGGGCCCGTGTCAACATCAACAGCGGCGGCCCCTGACCCCGCGCGCGCTTCCGCCTCGCCCGCCGCCCGACACGCCATTGGCCGGCGGGGAGCCCGGCCGCGCCCCCATTGGCTGGCGGGGAGCCCGGCGGCGCTCCCATTGGCTGAGCGGCGTGAGGGAAGTCCCGCCCACCACAACCTTCTTTCCTCTCCGTCCCTCACGGGAGATGGCGGGGGGTAAAGGGGGCGGGACCAGCGTCGCCATGGCGACGGCGAGGCTGCGTGGCGATTGGGTGAGCGGAGCGGGGAGGCGGGGTTAAGGGGAGGGAGGGCGCTGATTGGCTGCCGCGAGAGCTGCGGCCTGTCCGTCACCGGGTGAGGAGGTGCCGAGGCCGCGATTGGCCCAAGGTGCAGCCACGCCCACCCTGCCCTCCCATTGGCTGCAGCGCGCGACCTAATTTCCCATTGGCTCAGACGCGGCTGAGGTAAACCACGCCCCTTGTACAAACCACGCCCCTCTAGCTGTCAATCTCCCGTAAGGCCCCGCCCCCTCCCTTTCTTCCCACGGGGGCCAAACCGGGAACCCAAATTCGGGACCCCCCCTCGCACCCCTCCCCCCCCTCAGCACAGACCCTCGGCTCGGTTTCCAGATCCTTTATTAAAAGCCATCACAGACCCCTCACAATGCAGGTGGGACCCCCCTCACACCCCTCAGGAATGAGGGTGGGACCCCCCTCACGCCTCTCTGGGGATGAGAGTGGGACCCCCCTCACAGCCCCCTGAGAACAAGGGTGAGACCCCCCCTCAAGCCCCTTGAGAATGAGAGTAGGACCCCCCTCACCCATTCAGAATGAGAGTGGAACTCCCCTCACACCCCTTGGGAATGAGGGTGGGACCCCCCTCACCCACTCCTGAGAATGAGAGTGGAACTCCCCTCACACCCCTTGGGAATGAGGGCGGGACCCCCCCTCACACCACTCCTGGGAATGAGAGTGGAACCCCCCTCACCCATTCCTAGGAATGAGGGTGGGACCCCCCTCACCCCCTCCTGGGACCACAGGTGTGACCCTCAGGATGGCAGGTGGGACCCCCAACACCACCCACCATCCCCCGGGGGCACACCCAGCCCACCATCCCTCGGGTGGGTCTCAGTCACCCACGGAGGCACCGAACCCCCCTCTCTGGGGGCCTGGAGGAGCCCCCCCGGTGCCGGGGGGCTCAGTGGGCCTTGTGGCGGGGCCGGTCGAGGCCGCGCTGGGCCGCGCTGAGGCGGCGGCAGGCGTCGAGCACCAGAACCCCCGGCACCAGCACCCACAGCCCGTTGAGCCCCACGAAGTACACCCAGAAATAGAGGGGCCGGGGGTCGCTGTGGGTCCAGCCCGCCAGGGCCTCGGTGGCGAAGTACAGAACGTCCCCGTAGAGCTGGCCTGGGGAGGGGGACATGGGGATACACGGGTCACACCCCCAGGGCACAGGGATGGGGACACACGGGTCACGCCACGGGGATGGGGACACACAGGTCACAACCCCAGGGAACAGGGATGGGGACATGGGGACACACGGGTCACACCCCCAGGGCACGGGGATGGGGACGTGGGGACACCAGGAGAGCAGGGGAAGAGGGATGGGGACATGGGGACACCAGGAGAACACGGGGATGGGGACATGGGGACACACGGGTCACACCCCCTGGGCAGGGGGATGGGGATGTGGGGACACCAGGACAGCAGGGGGACAGGGTAGGGGACACCAGGAGAGCAGGGGGACAGGGATGGGGACACCAGGACAGCAGGGGGACAGGGATGGGGACATGGGGACACACGGGTCACACCCCCAGGGCAGGGGGATGGGGACGTGGGGACACCAGGAGAGCAAGGGGACAGGGATGGGGACATGGGGACACACGGGTCACACCCCCAGGGAATGGGGATGGGGACATGGGGACACACAGGTCACACCCCCAGGGAATGGGGATGGGGACATGGGGACACACGGGTCACACCGCCAGGGTACAGGGATGGGGACATGAGGACACACGGGTCACACCGCCAGGGTACAGGGATGGGGACATGGGGACACATGGGTCACACCCCCAGGGAATGGGGATGGGGACACCAGGAGAGCATGGGGACAGGGATGGGGACATGGGGACACACGGGTCACACCCCCAGGGAATGGGGATGGGGACACCAGGAGAGCAGGGGGACAGGGATGGGGACATGGGGACACACGGGTCACACCCCCAGGGAATGGGGATGGGGACATGGGGACACACGGGTCACACCCCCAGGGAACAGGGATGGGGACGTGGGGACACACGGGTCACGCCACGGGGATGGGGACATGGGGACACACGGGTCACACCCCCAGGGGATGGGGATGGGGACGTGGGGACACACGGGTCACACCCCCAGGGCAGGGGATGGGGACGTGGGGACACACGGGTCACACCCCCAGGGCAGGGGGATGGGGACGTGGGGACACATGGGTCATGCCACGGGGATGGGGGCACACGGGTCACACCCCCAGGGGATGGGGATGGGGACGTGGGGACACACAGGTCACACCCCCAGGGAACAGGGATGGGGACACACAGGTCACACCCCCAGGGCAGGGGGATGGGGACACACGGGTCACACCCCCAGGGCAGGGATGGGGACGTGGGGACACCAGGACAGCAGGGGGATGGGGACGTGGGGACACCAGGACAGCAGGGGGATGGGGACATGGGGACACACATCTCACACCCCCAGGGTACAGGGATGGGGATGTGGGGACACCAGGAGAGCAGGGGGACAGGGATGGGAATATGGGGACACCAGGAGAACAGGGGGATGGGGACATGGGGACACCAGGAGAGCAGGGGGAACAGGGATGGGGACACCAGGACAGGGATGGGGACACCAGGACAGGGATGGGGACACCAGGAGAGCAGCAGGAATGGGGCTGGGGGACACAGGGAAGGGCTGTCACCCCCAGGTCAGGGACACCAGGAGAGGGGATGAGGACATGGGGACACCAGGGGGAATGGGGCTGGGGGACACAGGGAAGGGCTGTCCCCCCACCATCAGTGCAGGGACACCAAGACAGGGCTGGGGACACCAGGACAGGGGTGGGAGACACTGGGACAGGGGTGGGGACACCAGGACAGGGCTGGGGACACCAGGACAGGGATGGGGACACCGGGACAGGGATGGGGACACCGGGACAGGGGTGGGGACACCAGGACAGGGGTGGGGACACCAGGACAGGGCTGGGGACACCAGGACAGGGTTGGGGACACCAGGACAGGGATGGGGATACCAGGACAGGGATGGGGACACTGGGACGGGGCTGGGGACACCAGGATGGGGATGGGGACACCAGGACAGGGCTGGGGACACCAGAACAGGGGTGGGGACACCAGGACATGGGTGGGGACACCAGGATGGGGATGGGGATACCAGGACAGGGTTGGGGACACCGGGACAGGGGTGGGGACACCAGGACAGGGCTGGGAGACACTGGGATAGGGACAACAGGACAGGGATGGGGACACCAGGACAGGGTTGGGGACACCAGGACAGGGTTGGGGACACCGGGACAGGGGTGGGGACACCAGGACAGGGCTGGGAGACACTGGGATAGGGACAACAGGACAGGGATGGGGACACTGGGACGGGGCTGGGGACACCAGGACAGGGGTGGGGACACCAGGATGGGGGTGGGGGACACCAGGACAGGGCTGGGGACACCAGAACAGGGCTGGGGACACCAGGACAGGGCTGGGGACACCAGGACAGGGGTGGGGGACACCAGGACAGGGATGGGGACACCAGGACAGGGATGGGGACACCAGGACAGGGATGGGGACACCAGGCCAGGGGTGCCACCCTACCCAGGGACACGATGAGCTGCAGGACGTAGCGGGACGGGTGGTGGCGCAGGAAGGCGAGGAAGGTGAGGAAGCTGAGGGGGCCCCAGGCCCAGGCAGTCACCGTCTCCATGGCCACCGTGAAGTCATCGCTCCTGGAAAGGGGGCACAGGGGTCAGCCAGGACCCCCCCCAGGCTCTCAGACACCCCCTCCCCACCCCAAATCCCCCCACCCCCCAACAACTCACGTCATGTAGCGGCTGTCGGCCTTGGCGTACTCCTTCCCTGGGGACACCGGGGGGACACCGGGGGTCAGGGGGGCAGGGCAGGTGTCCCCCACAGCCCCCCAGGGCGCCTGGAGCACCCCAAGCCCTGCTGCCAGCACCTGGGTGTCCCCCTCCCCACGTGCACAGGGAACCTTCAGAGCCTCCTGACGCCCCTGGGGACCCCTCCCCACGTGTCCAGGGAACCTTCAGGGCCCCTCCCCACGTGCCCAGGGAACCTTCAGGACCCCCCTGATGCCCCCCATGTGCCATGGGAACCTTCAGGACCCCCCTGATAACCCCCCTGTGTCCAGGGAACCTTCAGGACCCCCCTGATGCCCCTGGGGACCCCTCCCCACGTGCCCAGGGAACCTTCAGGACCCCTCCTCATGTGCCCACGGAACCTTCAGACCCCTCTGATGCCCCCCATGTGCCCAGGGAACCTTCAGGACCCGCCTGATGCCCCTGGGGACCCCTCCCCACGTGTCCAGAGAACTTTCAGACCCCCCTGATGCCCCCAACGTGCCCAGGGAACCTTCAGAGCCCCCCTGATGCCCCCCATGTGCCCAGGGAACCTTCAGGACCCCTCCCCATGTGCCCAGGGAACCTTCAGGACCCCTCCCCACGTGTCCAGGGAACCTTCAGGACCCCTCCCCCTGTGTCCAGGGAACCTTCAGGACCCCCCTGATGCCCTGG